ATATTTCTTGTTGTTCCCCTCAGCCACTTCCATGGCAGAGAACAACTGTGAGCCCAGCTGGGTCATTTTGACTCTACAGTCCCTTTCAGAAAAAAAAAAAAAAAAAAAAAACACATTCAAATCACAAAATTCTGTAAGATTTATTTGGATTTCACGTGATAGGTCAACCGAGAGAAATGCATAATTGTGAAAAAATATGACAAGTCTTGTATAATTTTCAAAATTATCTACTACAAAAATAGTGTGAATAGTGTGACTTACATTTGTATCCAACACACCTGAGTCAGTTGTTTGGAGGAGGACATTGGAACGAATTATATACCAGTAGATACTGAAATAGTTTCCTTTAAAAAACAAAAAAAGATAGCTCAAGCTCTTTCTCACTCTGGACAGAGAGCAAGAAAGAACACGGTTGGATTTAGGTCTAAACATTATCTGGGGAAATGTTAACATTCCCATAGTTTTAGTTTTAGTAACGTCTTCAGGGTGATGTGCACTGATGGGATTCAAACTACCATTTTCTAGCCTTTTATTAATAATGTATTTCTTTTTGCCAGTCTCCTGTACCAGTCAGATTTGATGACTGCATTACTCTACAGACTCTCCCACCTGACCTGTTGCTGCAGCTCCTGCAGAGTTACTGTTGCTCTCTTCGCTCAGCTAAAGACAGCGCTCATATCTACATTGATACACGTTAATAATTAGGTGACTTCAGCTGGTCGTGCTGAGTTTTTACTTTGAGCTTTTACAGCAACAGGGCTGAGTACAAATGGACACCACACTTTTTAGACGCATATTTGTGAAGATTAGGCTTTTGCATGCTCCCTCTTCCACATAATTACATTTCTATGCAGTGGTTTATAACACTGAAACAAAAAAGAGTATATTGAAGTTTGTGGTTTACTGTAATAACATGGATAGAGATAATTTTGCCTGTCACTGTAGTTTTTTTAAGTGTTCTATGAACATTAATTTGTTGAAATCCACAGCCTTAATACTAATTTTGTCATGCGATTTTGTAATCCCACCATTTGCTGACCCAAAACATGAATGAAGTTTTTTAGATGTTTTTCTTTTCTTTGTCACTGTACTGTAAGTTTCAGAGGCTTGGTTTCTACCACGTCATGCTAAAAGATGGAAATAGTAAGGTGGTTACACAGGCGCAGATACCATGGGAGCAAAGAAGCAGGACAAGAACTAAAGATAATAGATAGTCAGTTCTAGTTTCACTGCGGTTCGCTGGATGAACTGAATGTGCCATCACACAAGTACATGTAAAGTAACAACAAAGCTTCCAAATAGATATTGCAATTCCCAAATGAAACACGAGCTATTTTTACCGACGAGATGGTAGCGAATGAATGCATAATTTATACATGTCCTGCTTTTTGACAGATACTCTGTACTGTAAAGGCACTTTGCTGTAAAGCATGTAAAATAGGACGATATTTCCTCAAATATGTAATAGTATGAACCCAAAATGCAATCTCTTGGTATGGGTTTAGACAATTCTTAAACTGAAGCCCATTTAAATTTGTAAGTTGTGTCTTATTGTATTGCACTGAAAATACAATCTGCAGGATTTAATCTAAATGTGTTTTTGTCACTTTTGTAGCCCAAGGCACTGAAGCTGCTGGGGATGGAGGTGAGTATTGATCTTTGAAGGTTGTAATCCACTCATTTTCCTTGACTGTTTCTCTCACACCACCTTCAAATACTACTTGTAAAATGTGCCAAATGCTATTTCGTAAAATAGTTTAATTAACTCAATGTGAGTTTTGTGCTCCACAAGCTTTCAAAGGAAAAACTTAGCTTACTGTAAAAATAATTCAATGGAAATCTGTATAGGGACATCAGGGAGAGCTGCAATATTTTGGTCAAAAAAAATCTACTAGATGTTTTTTTTCAGTTTACAGTCTTCTAAACACCAAAATAATAATAATAATAAAAAAACACTCAGCCACCTTATACTTAATGTAAGAAAAAGTATAAAATAATACTCTTGACTTCTTTCTATCAGGATGACATGCCAATCCGGAGAGGCCGGCAGAAGACGACACGTAAGCGAGAGGAAGAGGTGGACATCGATTTGGATGACCCCGAGATAAACCACTTCCCCTTCCCCTTCCATGAGCTCATGGTGTGGGCTGTGCTCATGAAGCGCCAGAAGATGGCGCTGTTCTTTTGGCAGCATGGGGAGGAAGCCATGGCCAAGGCCCTGGTTGCGTGTAAGCTGTGCAAGGCTATGGCACACGAAGCATCTGAAAACGACATGGTGGACGACATCTCCCAAGAACTCAACCACAACTCCAGGTGGGTGACATGAATTTGAAAGAACTTGCAGGGATCCAGTTGGGGATTTGGTAGAGAATTCACACACTGACACAGATGGATGCACGCATACTGAAATGAACCTTCTCTGCTGCACCGCAGCCATTTTAGATCCCTATTGGATGTGCCTTGCACACGCATCATGTTATTGAAAGAAATACACTCAAATTAAGGTAGTGTAAGTGATGATAAGAACTATGGATATATCATAAATCAAGGAAAATGTTTAAGTTGCAAACACAGCTCAGCCTCACATTAGCTAACTCCACTGACTGCACTTACTGTTTGGATTCTTTCTGGAACCTTAGAATTTTAATCTCCCATGTGTTATTCACATTTTTCAGAGTGTTTTTGAAGGTCTTTGTGTGTGTATGAGTTTGCACAGACTCAGGGGATGATCTTTTTTTTTTACAATGCATTTGAAAACGTGCCTTCTTTTTTTTCTGCACCGCTTCCTCGCTTCTCAAGATGTTCCACACAACCTGTTTAAAGAATGCTGCGGTATTCACCTGTTACCTAAGATCACATCATGCGAGTCGTTTGGAAAGTATTCTCAAAGAAGGAAATCCCTCGTCTGTTCATGCAACATAGCTGAACCGTGTTACTTGTTCACCTGTGACATTGGGAGTAATAGTTTGGCAAAGCCTTAAATTGGCAGCAATGTGAGCGTTTTAGAACGTGAACATCTTCTTGCTCGTGCAAATAAATAGAAGTATTAAGGCACATTTTTCAAATTTTTTTTAATAATATTTGCTTTTGTTTATGTATTATACAGAATAGCAAGCTTTAAAGTTACCATATCACTTATAGCTAAGCACATACTAGAAAAATACAGTGAAATAAAGCGGGAGGGAGAGCAGCTTAACTTGATTTGAAAGTCAAGGAGAATCGCTCACGTTTTAAGAGTGGAGGGGTCCAGACAGCTCCAATGTGTCATGTCAGGCTGTTCCAGAGCGTCAGGGCTGCCCCTCTACAGACTTCATTGCCTCTGTTTTTTTAACCAGTTTTGACGATTTCTACAAGTAGTTGATTTGTCAATCTAAGAGTCCTGACCGGATTAGCCCATCAGTGCAATATTACGAGGGCCCACTGAGAGATTTTAAAACAAGCAACAATGTTAATATCGCTCCTGTTGGGCACCAAAAGCCATAGAAGACGGGTGATGTTTGGTCATGTTCCCGCTTACCGATAAGAAGATGCGTTGTGGTTTTCTATTGCTAGTAATGTGTACAGTAGAAACTAGAAGTTTACATACAATGGAAAAGACACACACCTTTGATAACCACTTGTGTGTTTCGGGTTATTGTCCATTTAGAGGACCCATTTGCCCAACAGCTTTAACTTCCCGGTGGCTGATGACCTCAGATATTGCTTCAGACTGCAGGACATGACTCAGATAATGAAGATCTTTGTCCCTGTGTCATTTGAAAACTGTTATCTGTTTTTTACGTTTCTTTTGTAAAAATTGCTTCCTCCTCACTGACGGGGCTTTCAGCCCATGTTGATTCAAGACACATTTCACTGTTAATAATGACCTTGTCTTACCACCTTCAGCCAGCATCTTCACAAGGTCTTTGGCTTTTCATGTCTAATGTCAGCGTGTTACCCGACGGGTTTAATTTTGATATTCCAGGAAAGTAAATCATTTTCTCTTTTTACGTTTTCCACGACGTTTCGCAGAGAGTTTGGCCAGCTCGCTGTGGAGCTCCTAGACCAGTCCTATAAACAGGACGAGCAGATGGCAATGAAGCTGCTGACATATGAGCTGAAAAACTGGAGCAACGCCACCTGTCTGCAGCTGGCGGTAGCAGCCAAACATCGAGATTTCATCGCCCATACCTGCAGTCAGATGCTGCTGACCGACATGTGGATGGGGCGTCTCCGCATGCGCAAGAACTCAGGCCTGAAGGTAGGATGACGGGTGCAGATATTTAGTTTACCCTGATGCATCACGTGTGACCGTCACAGCATTTAATAATTGGCATAGCCTGCAAATATGGAGCATGTACAGTTTGTACATTTCTCTTGGAGAAAAGTTAGGACTTTGACTTGGCCAGTCAAAGTATTGTTTAACTTAGCCATATTAGAATTTTAAGTAATAACAAGTGTAACAGATTATATAAAAATGTAATGAAGTAAATTCGACAGCTGTGTACTACGCAAAAAAGAAGGGTGACAGCTACTAGGAAAAAAATATGAATCATCTGGTTTTGCTTCCAAGTACAGAAAATGAGGCAAACATTTCTCTTTTTAAAATGCTTCATGTTTCTTCATCCTGCAGTTTACTTTTGACTGGTGCTTTTTGTTCTCAGACACTCTTGTGGTTTAATATATATCACAAGTGACTATAGGGATGTTTAAATTGCATGTTATTAATTTGGTAGGACTAATCTAAATTTGTGGACAGGCTCAGGCAAAAGAAAGATGCTCATCAGTTGATAACAGTTAAACAGAGATATTGGGGTTGTGACTTGACCTTAATTTAAAAAAACAAAAACAAAAAAAAAGTCCAATAAAACTTGCATGGACTCTGATATGCTGAGTGAAGAGCAAATTTTTCATCAAACAGCATTGGCTGAATTTTGAGCGATCTTTGCTTGTCTGGGTTCTCCATATGTTTGATGTTAGGGTGACACAGAGCAGCTGCTCAGACCAGAAAGGCCATAGCTATTTATAATGAAGGTCTGCCTCAGAATTTTCTGAAGTGTGGCGTTATGCTCCTTTACATGGTGAATGAAGTGTGGGACAATGGAACGGACTGGTGTGCTGGCCTTTTTTTTTTTTTTTTTGAGCAGGACAGATTTGCAGTTCAGTAAATATTTGTTGCCGTTTGCTGGAGGAAGTGAGAGAGTGCACTGCCGAGACAAACTCACCGGAGCAGAAAGACAAAGGGGGCAACCGCAAGTGCAACAAACAAGATTTTATGGCCCTGGGAGTTTACGATAAAATAACAATGTCAAAACAATAAGTCGGCATATGGTTTAGCTGTATTAGATGCAGGGGCAGCCATCCTCAACACTCTTGTTCTCAAATTACTCCCCAAAACGACTGCGACTTGCAACAAGTAATGCAAATCTTTCTTTACGCTTGAATAAGTCGGACAGGTTTGGTCTTCACCTTTGACCCTTTGATGGGACAACAGAAAAAAGAATCCCTTTTTCTGAAGAGTTATTGATAAATATTTCACTAGTACCAGCCCATATTCCTTTAACTAATTGTAGTATATCTGTGTAACCAGTATACTATATTTCTAGATCA